AGCCTATCAAAAATGGGGTTTATCCATACGAATGAATAGGGGCTATAAAGACTTTTCTCTATCGAACTTTGATAATTTCTAGAAATGCATGAATCACAGTCATAGAAAAACTTTCTNGCCCTTATTCATTCGTATGGATAACCCCCATTTTTGATAGGCTTTCATTTGGTATAAAATACAATGTTGATATCATTCGTCGTTGGAGCTGTAACCCCCGAGCAAAACATTTTTGGCAACCCTGTACATGCAGATATCAATCTTCTCTTTATATATACTTCTACATCTCACCTTTAATAGATTCACTTAATGACATTTGAAATATTTATGACAGTTTTTAAGAGTATATATTTCATCATTATTTTTATACGATTGACATTTTTTTCTTTCGGCTAAATTGATACATACCATTAGCAACAGCGACAGTATTGTGTTGCAAATTTTGTTTTTGAGAATGAAGAATATGCTTGAGTTTCAGCTACTTAGCAGCATGAGGTGATGCCTAGCAGAAGATTCATTAGTCTGAGATTCTTTTCTATAATTAATACTAGCTATAGCTTTGGGCAGAATGCCGTTCTGACGCAGAGTTCTTGCACTAAATTGCTTAAACTCCTCATAAACACAGACTAACCACAAGAACAGATGTATGTCACCATGTTGCGGCATGTGAAAACAATATTTATCGGATACACGCTGAATAATAGCATTGCTGCTTATGGATTGTTATAAATTTTGTTAATTAGATTCATTAACAGTTATGATTACAGAAAAAAATTGTCAATAAATCTTTTGAAACACTTTTGGTGACCACTATATCTTGATTTAAAGATATGACTCTACTAGTGTTTAATATTTCAATCTAACCATAGTTTACAGATAAATTAGAATTACAAATGAATAACAATCTTTGCAAAATCGTCATTTTCATTAATTTTTTAAGTAAGATTAGTTCAAAAACATTTTTCATAGAAATATTTCATTGAAACAATAGCACGTACTGTGTTTCTACATTTTTGGGAAAAAAATTCTTAACGAGATACACTAACATATGAATAACGGCGAGTTACAGAGACCGATCATCAAAAGAAGATGCTAATTGTATGTATGCGGAAGACAGGAATAGAACTAGTATTATTCTAAATAAATTTGATTGAACCTAATTAGATGCTATACGCACCAGAGCTATCGGTGTGGCCTGCTGTCAGACAAAACTTGTTAGTGGAGCTCTTACGTTTTAGAACTCGAATTCTCTTGATGAATGACCTTATTAGTCGAGATTACTTTGAAAAATTCATTCGATTCCAGCAACGAATGCTTCAACCGAGGCGTGGGTGTGGGTGTCAGCCAAGAAAATTTGAACGCCTACATTGTTAGACAAAATCAAGGAAACACGTTAAATCTGAATTTCATGATGAAAAATTATAATAACTACTTTCAACTTTTCATTTGACAATAAGACACTTATGCTTTAAACGAATACGAGCTCTGTTTAGCTTTTTAATATGTATGTGGACTTACTCAAATGAAACTATTTATTATATTCCTTAAATTTTCCTTATATTAGGCTCAACTGGCGTGCCACCCGTTTTGGTTTAGCTTGTAGACATTACGAGCCAAACCAAGTCAGAAAAGTGTCCCACTTGAAGCTCTAGTACGTATTAGTAGTTCAGAACGTGCCTTGGTACGAGTTTCTGTTCAGCGAACAACAAATAATTCGATTCTGTCGCTCAATAGCTGTTTTTTTTCCTTAGATAAAGAATATCTTGTATTCTTTTAATTCATGGCTCGTTTTTCTCCTTTAGGTTTGTATCCAACTGTAGGCCACAAAAACGTCTTCAAAAATTTCGTTCACTTCGAAAACATTATCCAATTGTAGCATTTGGTAAATGTATTCCATCGAATCAAACTTTATCTCTTAATGCACATGTTCAATCCCAAACATCATGTGATCATAAATCAAATTGTGAAAAGCTTCATTTGACAACGTCAAAATTTTATCTTGCTTTTGAATCACAATCATGTACAGATTATATAACAGAAAAATTTTGGCGCACACTTTCTGTTGGTGCTATACCAATTGTAAGTGGACCTAAACGAGAAAATTTTGCACGTATTGCTCCACCTAATTCATTTATTCATGTGGATGATTTTTCATCAGATAAAGAATTAAGTGAAGAATTAAAGTTAATTGGTGCCAATCGAACTTTATATGAAAAATATCATATATGGAGACGTTATTATGATGTTTATTATCAAGCAAAAGATGTTGATCCATATCGATTTTGTGAATTGTGTTATCGTTTAAATACAAATAAACAACGTATTTGGTACGAAAATATTAACGATTGGTTTTTAGAAAAATGTTGAACTAACCAAAATACATTTTAAGTCAGATTTAAATTTAAATTATATGTTATCTTGTGGCAAAATTTTTTTTTAGCAATAAATATAATTTCTAAAGAATATCTGATTTTTACCAAAAGTCTGAATCAGAGATATCTTATAGTTTTAACAAAATTTGTTCAGTGTATCATTAGTGAGAACAAGAAAAAGTTGCATGAACTTAGATTAGGAGAGTATGGCAGGCTTGAAAAGGTTTCCATATAAGTTTTGGTGAACAATTCAATCACAATTCAAATTTGATGTACTATCCATTTCAAAATATAATGTGCTTCACTATTTTTTGAATAACTTTTGATAGCAACATCATAAAGACTTGTGGTTCTCTTTACTATAGAGAGAAAACTCGGGATCATCGGAATTCAATCAGTCAAAACACTACCACTCAGATGAGTTTCCAGGAAAGACTTTCGAAAACAATATTCTGAAGCTATCTCCATTTCGATTTACCCGAGGCCAACATTTCTAATTTGTTCTGTTCGACAGTTATAAGACTTTTTCTAAAACGTCTCGATTCAAGCCTATTGAACTATGATTACTAGGAAAATCAGTTGAACTGGAGTAATTCTCCGTGCTGATTAAATGATTATATTTTGTTTTTAAGTTTAAAATGATCCGACTCTATTATTTCAATATTTCTGAATTTTTGTAGATAGTCTCCATGTAATGAAGAAGTCGACATTTCAGAAATATTGAGATAAGAATGTTAGTTTTGCTTTGATCGACAGAGAAGAATTAGTTTTATCGATTCGCCCTGTTAAATGGGAAAGTTGAAATTGAAATAGTTGCAGGATATCATTTTCGAAAATACCCACCAAAAACTAACAAGATTGGTCAATAGCTGATCAATCAAGATTCAATATACATCAATGGTCCTAGATCTTCAATCTTGAATGGTGATAGTAGTCTCGCATTATTAATGCAGTATGAAACACACAGAAATAACGTTGATTTGAATCAACTTCATTATCATCAAACTTCATCGATGAGCGGAATGACAAAAGAAGCAAAAATATTTATTGTTCAATACCACTAATTGTTGTACAAAATTCTTCAACAATAATAAGTACATCAGATACATCTAATGAATCAACATTACCAAATATTTATTTAAGAAGTATTACTTTGGCACAACATATTGCTGAACATGAGCATTATGATCTGGATAAAATATCTAAGCTTGTTGTACGACATATACAAATAACTGACTGAATGAAACAATTATTGTCAACATGGTTTAATGAATCTGATTATCGTTATATACATTGTTTTAGTTATGATTTACTACTTAGTTACACCATAACAATTAATGATACATGTTGAAGATGAACAAATGGCAAATATATAGTTATTAACATTGGAACATTTTTATTCTTTAGATGGAATGATTTTTGTGCAAAGTCTATAAAACACAATTCATACATTTTATTATCCAATAAATCAGAAGAAAATAAAGATTACTATTAGATGTCATGTATTCTTCACTGACAATTTTACTATTAGTTTATGGGTATTTGTCTATAGAATCGAGTTTCTTCTTACAACAGATGATTTCATACTTTTGTGAAACTCACATTGTGAATTTCGAAGAAAAGTATAGTGAGTATAAGTTTTAAGTCGAAGTTTTGCAGCTCTCCCACTCGCTTATCGTAAGGAGGGGGAGACGGGTAACAAGAATGATTCGAGTTTGTTTCCATAGCAAACGAGGACAACAGACATCATAGTTCTTTGCCAAAGTTCCTTAGCAACGAGAAAAGGTGCTAAGCTATAGGGTCCTGGATACTTTTTACTTAAGCTCCTCCCCCCCCCCCTCCCCTCAAAGATCGATATTGGCCTATTTTTCAGGCAGGAATTGATGGAAATTTTGGGGAAAAGCGAAGTGCCAAAAAAAGAATTACGTTGTTTATGAAAGACCAGATCTCGGGCTATCTTTCTATGTACTTATCTCAGTTTTCATGTTTTTGACAAATATTAACTTTTTTTGAGAGACGACTTTAATGTATTTTGTATTAGTTTAACGAGGATAAAGAACACATGATATGAGTTTCACATTTTAGCCTGAAATGGGCTGCGCTGACAAGTTTTTATTTTTATTTTAAAGAGTATATCAGACTGTGATGCCTAACAGAGTCTTTTTTCTTGAATTCTTAATTTTTATGCGAAGAACAAAGATGACAAGTTCAATATCTTGAAAAACTCAAAAAATGGTCATCTATTTATATGCAGAAGTGCTTGTTTTATATAATAATAAAAAAGTTTAACTAAAAAAGCGAGCATTACAGTTTATATGCTCGAGAATTCTGGGATACGCAATTAGAAAAACATATACAGAGAGAAAAAATGAAGACGATTTGCCGCTTTTTTCCGGAAAAAACAATAGTTTGTGAAAGATCCTACCTCAAGCTATTGTATCATGCATTTATTTTGATTTTGATAATTCTGACTTAAGTGAATATTTAGTTCAATTCAAATTACGGTCTTTACGAGAGTAAGACCAACAAAAAAAACAAACGTCTAAAATGCTAAATTATTATAAATTTTAATGACAGATGTTTGATTGAACAAGAAGAAAACAATATATGAAAAATGTTTCATTTAAAATTTCATGTACTCTTTTTCGATGAACGTCTTGATTCACTTGTTGTTGATCTTGAACTACTATCAATAGAAATATTTACAATATTTGGAATGATGTCTATATTGGACAATGATGGTAGAGTTTTTTTTTCAAGTTTACATTGTTGTTTATTTGACTGATTAATTGATGGTTTGACTGTAATCTTAAACGACTGATCGACTGATAATTGTTCAACTATTTCAATGACATTGTTATCATCTCCTATGGCTAAGCATAGAGATACGAGTTGTTGTTCGATTTTATTATTAGCTTCAGATTGTAAACGTACATCAATATCAAGTTCATCTTGTATAATATCTTGAATATTTCGCTGTTGTCGAATGATTTGTTGAAAACGTTTGATCTAATATTAAAATTGAATTGATTTTAAAAAAAAGAAGATCTAATATTTTCTGTTTGCTACAAACAATTTGATCAGCGCGATCAATTTTGACATGATATTGTTGAAGTTCATCTTCAAGTTTAATCTCAATATGACGTTTTTTTGTAATGGATTTATTCGTTTGTTCTATTTCTTCTTGAAACACGATCAAATCAGTATGAGATGTCTAGTTTAAATAGAAATCAATAAATTGTAATTCAACGAAAAAAACTTTTTTCGACTTTCTTTAATAGGCTCGCTCTCTAGGGTTCTCCTTGTCTTTCTTTGATTACTTCTGGTACATAGATAGAATCAGTCGCTTTTATTTTTGACTTTCATGTCCGTTTGTATAGGATTCTGAAATTCAAACTTCTGATTTTTATCTCTGAAACTTTGCTTATTTTTTACAATAAAAAACGTATAAAGTGTGATTTCCAAAAAAGCTCAAAACTACTTATGACATTTTGTCTTAAGTACGTTCAAAACATATTTTCAATTCAATGAGATGATATTTAATGAGAGTCGCAATGCACCAGAATGCAGTGCCATGGGAAACCAGAGTTTTTCCATAAAATCTTCTTTGAAATTTATTTCCTTGAACATGTGTCTACTTGTTTTAGGTGCTTTATCTATGATAAAAATTCCAGTTTCATTGGTTACACTCTTGTTGACAACCAGATATGGTCAAAACAGACCGAGGCATCCTTAAGAGTAGTTGATTCAAAAGTGTAAATGTCTTACAGAATTATGTCTTTCAGAAAAATCTTTCAGTAATTTTCGACGAATTTTAACTTGTTCTGTCACAGCTCGTAAATGTTCTTCAAATTCTTTCATTTCATTTATTTCTGAACCTATAGATGATAAATTAGAATGTTGAATCAATTAAATTTATATTTACTTGACTCATTTAATTTTTCAAAATTTTTTTTTACATCAGTATTATTCCATTTTAAAATTTGTACTGTATTTTCAAGAGCTCGTAATTCAGTTTCAGCTTTAATAACAAGTGCTTCTAATTGATCGCCTTGTTTTAATAAATCTTCTTTCATTTGTGCAGACTATACTAAATAAAACAACAAGATCTATTTATATCTATGAAAGAAGGCAAAAAAAAGTATTCATATACCTTAATAACATATTGAGCTTGTGCTAAAACATTATCTTCATTAGATTTCTCGGTATTTAATGTTATAGAAAAAGTTTCATATCGTTGTTTTAATTTAGATACTTTAGTAATACGCATAGCAAGTTCAGCTGAAATCGTATCTTTTTTAGTTCGTTCATCATTGAATCGTATTCGAAATAAATGACTATTTGCTTGTACTTCCATACGACGTTCTTTGATTGCCTATATTGGAAGTTATTCGAGAAAATTGAATATTAGTTGGGAATCATTTTTTGTTTAGATATGAATGGGACTCGATCATTTTTGATCTCGATCTCGGTAACATAGTGTCCATATCTAATGCTGTTCTAAAAATATCATGAATGAGATTTAGGACACAACTACCTTCACTTTTTTGTGATTCGTTTTTGATAAAGTAGCACTCTTACTAGAGTCCTGTAAAACGGTACAAGCGGTTTTTTTAGGATTCGAGGCTGTTTCTCAGAACTCTAGTTCTTACATGCAGCTGCTCACCAAGCTATAGAGTGCTATGAGAGATTTTTCTTCACTTCGGAAAATAATAATGAAAATCAACTTTTCCTATACAATTCGTGGACAATCTGCACGATAGTAGCAAATTTGACAAAACAAATAAGATCTTATTCTATATGATACTGCTAAAAACTGATGAAGAAAAGCTTTTCTTTTCGTGAATTTGTATATATATCAATCGGTAATTATTAGCTACAAGTACTTGAGATTGAACTACTGATATTGTACAAGTTGATTGAGAATCTATATTACATTTTAATTTCAGTTTTTATTTTTATTAACTTATTTAGTTGACGAATGACACTACTTTTCTCATCTCGCCCGAATTATGCTTTGATTGATATAGATTATAAGATAATTCACTTAAAATCGTGGAACATTTAACTATAATCTTTAATTCCAGTTTATTCCTGTGTCACCAGTCACCACAACTTATTGAATTCACAAAGCTGAACTCGGCAAATCTTCAAATTTTGATCTCTCATATCTTTATTCTCAACACATGAAAAGGGTAATAAATGTCTAATGATAAAAAACAACTTTCGTTGTTACAGTTTCTTTTTCCTTAAAATAAACTTCTGAAGCTGATTTCGGTATTTATCACAATAGAAAAACCCAGTTCCATCTCTTTACACTAAAAATATTTTGAATAAAGATTTAAAACTAATTAAGAGTCAAAATCATCGATTTCTTATGAAATTTATTATATTCGAATATATCTCAAATAAACTCAAGACCATAGCTATATGCAGTTTCAGTCTACTGACCATGGACTAGAGATGTGTGAAATTACTCTATCCTTCTCTGCAGGGTAATGTTGGGCAAGAGTTCACAAAATTTTCTTACAATGGAACCTTCTGTATTGTTAATCGAGTTGATCGACCATATTCGGGACACATGAAAGCTCTCACTGTCAAACTAATAAATTTAAAATATTACGTCCCCATAGCGTACCTAGAGCAAGTTACATAAATTTCAACGTATGTGAAATTTAGGTATAAAAATGAATCAGTAAAGGCTTTCTCCACTATTGTAAGGAGAAAACATGCTGTTGTTTGGGCCGATCAGAGGCTTGGAGGGGCTCTCTTTCATATGGCCCGAACAACAGCATGTTTTGCCCTTATAATAGTGGAGAAAGCCTTTATTGATTCATTTTTATACCTAAATTTCACATACGTTGAAATTTATGTAACCTGCCCTAGGTTCGCTATGGGGATGTAATATTTTAAATTTGTTAGTTTGGCGGTGAGAGCTTTCATTTGACCCGAACAAGGTCGATCAACTCGATTAACAATACAGACGGTTCCATTGTTAGTCAGGCTAAATGGTATGAAAAAAGTTTACCCTGCACATCTCGATCATCGGCATCACCAACTCAGTGTAGTTATTGCCCACTAACTACACGGACATACTGACAAAGTGGAACCTATGTTTACTGAAGTACTAAAACACACCGCTATAAAAAAAAGCACATTTTGATAGTATTGATGTCTTGGTGTGGTAACAAGCATGAGTAACAGTGTAATCAGTACCTCAGTAGACCCTATGTCGTTAACTCACTGTCAGTATTTACATCAATACTGTACGTCATTGCGTGAACATAAAACATTGTACAATAAAGATTTTTTCTTCTCATACAGAACGATTGGAGTCATGCTAAAAGTAGACTCTTCACTATTCATGGACAACTTTTGTCTCTATCTGAAAAACTAATAAATTAAATTGCCAATGACAGTTTGAAAAAAAAATAGTTTTTGTTATTTTCTCATTAAAAAAGACACAAATACCTTTTGTAATTCAATTTGTTGTTGTTCTAAACTGGAATTGATTTCACTTGAATTGTATAGAATATTTTTTAATCGTTTTAATTCAATATTAAGAAGGTTTTCTTCAACTAGATAATCCTAGATTAATCAAAACTATTAGTTTATTTTGAGAAAACGATAAATATCTAACTTCTTTTCCATTATTTATTTTTTTAATTAATTTTTCACTTAAAGTTATGTAAAGATCAAATTGAAGAAATTTTTCATTTAAATCATTTTTGTCTATGATTAATTGGTCAAAATCACGCTTACTCATTCTTAATTCTTCATTAAGAATTTTAATTTGATTTTGTAATTGATCATATTGATACTTTTTTTTTTCATATTCATTTTGTAATTCACGAATTTTTAAATCAAATTCTGAATATTTTTCATTGGTTTTTTCACCTAATAATCGATTAAGACGACGATCAATTGTTTGTTTTATAAAGTCTTGATGATAAATTAATTCTTGTTGTTTTAATAATTGTTGATCTAATTGATTTATTTGATTTTTCATATTATGTACTTGATTTTGATATGCTTGATTATCTATTTCATATTGTTTTTCCTGTTTACGTATGAATAATAATTTATTATTTAATAGAAAACAAGTTTCCGATAGGTTTTTATATTGATAATTTAGATTATTTTGATATTTTTGTTCATTTTCCATTAGTTTTTCAAATTTAGATAATTTTTCATCGATTGAAAATTTTTCATTAAGTATAACATATTTTCGATCAAGTATCTGTTGATGATGTTGTTTGAGTTTTTTAAGTCTAGAAATAAAACAAAGACAAGTACATTTTAATAAACTTGAATTCTTACTCTTGTTGTCTGTGGATAATAGTTGTTTTTAATTCATTAAATATAGTACGTGCACGTTGTAATTCATTTTCCGCATTTACAAGGGCAGTTTTTAGGGATAAAACCTAAGAAAAAATATTGATGTTCATTTTAATCAGAAGTTTATTATCAGTGTATTATCAAGCTTGGAAGTCAAAGGAGCGGCATCCCTTCCGAACTTTGTAGTTATCGTACCACGTATTCTGTATCTATACGCAATGGTGTTGTGAGGTCATTACAAATACGAGGAGGAGGCGGAGCGTGGCCAAGTACCGAGAAGGCAGGATTCACAACATTAGGGAAGGTGACTCTTCTTGCGAAGATTGGTGAACAAACAAAATGAAGAAATTCGTCCAGCTTAGCTGGAGAAAAATGAAAATTTTTTCAAGATTGAGAGGGAGAGTAACCCACCCGCTCTGCTCGGAAAAATAGTTATTCACCTTCCGACAATTTATATGATCTTGATACTATCATAAAAATCTAATGTATCTCTAGATCGAAAACGATTGTGCTCTGACAAAAGACAAAGTAAATCGTAAGAAATTTAAGCTTATAAAAATGCCACTGAATATATATAATCTATACATTACGTTCATTCTAATTGAACATTATCCTAAACGTACACACGAGAAGAACGAGGAAAACATATCATTAAAAGAATCTTTTTTCTTTATAAAAATACAAAACATACTAAGAATTGTATGAATCTGACATAAAGAAAAGGACGCTATTAAGGGCATAAAACCCATGAAAACTATAAATAGGCATGCATCACACCCGAACTCTTGTTCATTGTTTGAGACGAACGATTCGCACTCGCGTTTGAAAACACTTCAATCAATTTAGATCGTAACGAATATTTTGATAATTGTCCAAGCATTTATTGATGTATATAGGCAATCATGGAGGCATCCTAACGTAGAGCCAGTCAGATTGATCCTGGACTCAATGGACTCTAGTCATCAAAGATAAAATATCGGAAAAACAATCTTGTATCTTCGGAGTGACCATTCAATCCCGATAAAAAAAATTGATAGAACGTGTCGAACTGTGCTTCAACCGGATTCGAGTACTTCCGAACATTATTGACTTCTTTCTTAGGATTTCTGCAGACCTTCGATTTTTGGATCATTTATTCCAGTGTGTGTAGGTCTGCCATATGCTAGTCTAGAATCATTTCTTTCGATTTCTTTCGGCTTCTTTTTATTAAGTGAGTGAAAATAATTGCAGTCAACGTCGAACCCAAACGTTCGGGTTCGGGATATATTTAATTATAACCCTTGAAAAAAAATAAAAACATTTTCTCGAATATTTTTTCTCTGCAGATAAAATGTCAGAAAATATCTAATATCTTACATCTGTTTTCAAATGTTCTTGTTTGTTATTGTTTGTCATTTGTTTTGCTTTTAATGACATGATTTTTTTACTGGCTAAATGAATCAATTTTTCTGTAACAATATTATTTTTTTGTTCGTGTTCATAGAATATTTTTTGTTGACTTAATTCTTGTTCTTTGATACGTGTTTTAGCTTTGATTTGAATAAGTTCCTAAAAACATTGTTGAAAATTATTAATTATTGATTTATAACATATTAGATTAAATTACAATTGCAAGTCTATCAATATCATAATCTTTTCGCTGCATTTGTACAAGAATTGTTTCCCATCGTTTAATAAGTTGTTGACGTTGTGTATAAGAACGACGAAATATATCAGCTATTTTATCTAATTCAACTTGAAGACCATAATATTCGATTCTTCCTTCTTCAATAGCACGTTTTAATTTTATTGATTTTTCTGAATCTCGTTCCAATTGTGCTGTTAATTCCTTTAAACAAATTCAAGAGATTTTACAGTCGAATTTAAAGATTTGATATGTTTCTTCATTACTTTTATGCGAATATTATCTTGTCGCGTATATTTCATTAAGCAAAATGTTTCCTCATCATTTTTCTTAATAACATCAATTAATTTTTCTAATGTATCTTTTTCGATTAATGTTTCATCATTAATTTTGCCTATTTGTATATGTAATTGATTTATTTCTGCCTAATATGAATATTTAAACTAAAGGTCATTAAAAAGCAAATTTAACATAAATCACCTCAAAATCTGTTTTTCGTTTTCTAAATTTAATCAAACCATTTTCTAGAATTGTTATTAATCGTTCGGTACGTTGCATTTCAGCAATGTCAATATGTAAATGTGTTTGTTCAGTTGTATCTTCTCTTCGGTGTGCTGCCAATAATCTCTATTAATAATCGAATGTTTCATAATAAATAAAATTTAATTAATTGTACGGTATTGGTGATTCGAAATTTGAGAAATGTTCTTTTTTTATCATGGTTGAATAAAACTCATCAAATTACCTCTAGAAATTTTGCTTCTGACGCATTCGAACAATTTTTTTTTAATAAGGAAAATTAAGTTACAAATATCAGAAAACCTTATAAAAACTGAAATACATTAAGAGCATCAAGTCTTGGAAGCGTCAATATGTATCCGAATTCTTTTTTTTATTTTACATATCATATGATTAGGAAAAAAACATTCTGTACAATTTTTTAAAACTATTATCTGATCGTTGAAAAAATCGACTTTTTTAAATGATGGAGTAACGTTATGAGTGTCGAGCGCAACCATTGTGCCGTTACGTCCCGAAAAGAAAAATTCCTACAAGTAGAGTTCTATTAAATCGAGATATCAAAGAGAAATAGGACGGACAATAGATTGAGAAGTAAAGAAGGTTTGTTTCATAATATTTATTCATACAAACATTTCACATAAAATTAAAATGATGTCCATGCTGCATGCAGAACGACTTTTTAAATTTTGTTACTGCTATAACTCAATGAAAACTGAAATATTGTTATCACAAAAAGTTGACCCTTTTTCAGATATATATAGTAGAATCATATCCCAAAAACATCAAATAAGAATCTTTATCAACTTCAGAGAAAATACAGTTTTACTAACAAAGTATGAAGCAACATTTTTCGAAGTAATTATGTATTAAGACGAATTGATTTATGAAAGTAGAATACCATAATCAGTTCTATACCAACAGCTGTTTAATAATATCATCGTTTTTATACGCCTATTAACATCCAAAAATGTATTTATCGGTAACTTGACAAGATTTTCAATGACAGAATCCACTCATCAATCGTTATCATCCATAATCACCAAAGCGTCGTATAGAATTCATCAAAATAAATGATATGCATGTCGATTCAAACGTCGACACAAGAAAGTCTTGGAAAAATATTATTTTTATACACATTCGATATTGATCTATCAAATACAATACTTATTTTTATCGAGCTTCTTTGCAGAACGGTACAAGTTGTGTGCTTCACTCAAATACAGGTTTGTATATAGAGATTTCGATTATCAAAAATTCAGTTCCAAATGAAACGAACATCATATTCACAATCAATAGACAAATCTGTATTGCACAAACCTCTCCCTTGAAGAGCAATGCGTCGGACGTAATAGAAGACTCCCCTTAATTAATTAATTTCTCATGATGTTGAGACTCTACGTAATATATTTACGTCAGAATATGCCTAGTTTTCAGGTTTTTGACAGGAAAAATCTTAAACGGCTGAGGTCAATACTATTTCTAGAATTTTAAAAATCTAAAAATCTTTTTCCAAATCTTCGAAGCTATTTTGATTGTTTGAAAAGCTCTTTTAATTAAAAATTTTGAAAATTAATGAGACACAATAGAAGAATCCTCTAAAAGATTTTTACACTAGGACGTAATAGAGGACTCGAGGTCTTCTATTATGAGGGCGAAATTTAGTATAAGCAATACATAAAGCAAGTTTTTGTTAAATTTTCATAAACCCCTTTTTGTAGGATTTATTATTCTACACATTTCTTTACAGTGTGTAATGACGGAAATTCGACGAAAACTTGTTTTAAGTATGGAGTATACTATTCTATGCGGGTTTTTCTACGAATTGTGAATATGATGTTCGTTTTATTTGAAACTAAAATGCTAACGATCAAAACCTCCGAGTACGAGATGAGAAATTGTATTTATGACGTTCTGCTATCATATTGAGAAAATTGGTTTTCTCAACTATGAAACAATAGTTTTCGAAAAACCATGCGTAATTTTTTTCCTAACTATATTACGAATAGAATCAAAAAAGTTTTGGATAAATGTTAAGGCTATCGATGCGTGATGTTTTTGCTAATTTCAATTGTTAAAGGCTAATCTCCTGTTTATAACCTAACTTTCCCTATACTAGAAACATTGTTCGAATATGTGTAAACAAAATTTTCTAGTGGTAACTTGACGAGCTCTATTCAACCGTAACAAAAAAATCAAACGCTTCATGAATTTTGACTTCTCAGCATCTTAATCACCTGTATAGTTTCAAGTTCATCTTGAACTAATTTTTGATGATCTTCAAGCATTTGAATTCTATCACTGTTTTCAACAATATCTAATTGTAAAGTCGTTAGTTCTTTCATTTTTGCTTCAACATTTTCTTCTAATAACTTATTTTCTTCATTACTTAATGCAGATGGAATACGTGTGTCGGTAAATTCATCATTAAAAAGATTTATATTTCGAAACCATTCCGACATTGGCTGAACATCCATGCTTCTCTTAATTAACGTTAATGTTTCTTTTTTTTTTATTTAGATCTAAACTGAGCGCGCCAATCATTATTATTGCAATACAATTGAAAAGAAGAATATCATATCATAACGTATATCTTGAAAAACCGAGAATTCTACAGGTAGCTTTATCTCATTTCTAAGCATATGAGAGTATCATTCAACTATTTCCGTCTTAAGTTTCTTATTTATTCATCTAATGAGTTATTAAAAAAAGACTACAACGAGAAGAAAAAATTATTTTCGAACGAAAAAAAAAATATTGACATATCAGTTTTCTTTTTTTTTCCATACAAATACGCTTATGAATATTCTATTGATTTTTCCATAATCAATGTTTTGAATGTTGACCCATAGTTACAGATGCAATATCCATAACACTGGATTGCATATGTCCACGTAACTTTAGTATAATTTCAGGTGCAAGTAATAAAGCTATCATAGGTACAACCATTTCACACAAATAACTTGCAAAATACAAATGACTTTCAATTGTCTCCATAACACTATTATTTACAGTGAATGTTGCAATTAATGAAACAATCGAAAGAGGTATCCAAACAATTGTATAAATAATAGCCATACCTAAAAGTTGTACAATCATTTTCCAATTTTTTGACCAATTCCTTAAATTTCTTTGCATTTCACGTCGTATCCATAAGACACGTATAAATATAAGAAGTGATCCAAATACAATTATAAATACTGGAAATAATATATTAAATAACCAATTAAATTTTGATAAACCACCGAAGTTATCAATACACTGACTACCACATAAATGTTCAGTATATTTTTTTTTTAAATCACACTCATAAAAGAAAACAGTGTATATATTGAATGAAATAAAATATGTGTGTATTAATATAAGTGGTATGTAATGATAAATTAATTTTTGTCGTTGAGAACGAAGAAGATTTGGATAAAATACAAGAATGTATCGTTCAACTGTAAATATTGCCCTACACCAGATAATAATACCAGTAAATGTCGAATCAGTATATTGCCAAAAATAACAAAAATATTCAGTTTGAATTCCAATATATCCACGAGCATAAAAACTGTTAATAGACGAAAAGGAAACAAAACGAAATAGATGGAATTTATTTTATTTTCTCAAGTCAGCAAATATGGATTGTTTCTGGCCAAAAAAAACTCGGGCAAATGTTAGGAACTTGGAAACAGAAATCTGGTGGTCAGTTCTGCTGGAAACTAGGAAAATCTTGGCATCGGATTTCTATTTCTAAGTTTCTATCATTTTTACAAGTTTTTCAGTTGGAAACTATATCTTTTTGGTGGGCACTTGCCGAAAATTCACGGATTTGGATGCCAGAGTTATTGACCTAGATAAAATTCTTTTGTTAATCAAATAAAGTCGTTCACTTAGATAGACTAGCCAATGTCAACAAACATTCTTTTTATCTATTCAAGAACATACCTTATTGTTATTGAAATATTCAAAAGTATATCCAATAAAATAATACAAACAAGAATAATTAATGTTTGATTTGGAAATCGTTTTCGAAATATTGGAATCCTTGTAACATTATAGACAAAATAAAGAGAACATATAGTTGATGGTATAGCAAATAAAAGTAATAGACTAAATTTAATAAAACGTTCTTGAATTGAAAGAGAAGTCTCATTCATTTCTGTCGTATTTTCAAAAAAAATGTTCGTTTCTACCATGAACTAAATCAATGGAAAATATTTTCAAGTTCTTAGCAGAATGATTGAACCAAGACTAACAATCAATAGTTTTTCTCATGAGCTTTATATTACAAAAATCACTTGATATTTTACAAAGAAAAGAAAAAAAAAAAGTAAGTCCATAATTAAAATAAAGTATTACAATGCAGTGAATTAGACAGAAAACCATTGACTTATTGTCAATATAATATAATTAATTCTAATTAATAGTTTTAGCTGAAGAAACACTCAAGTTATTTTCTTAAATCCAGTGATTCTAATATTAAACTACTAGAAAATGAATTTCTACTTCACATACGTGAACAGACTCCAGGCTTATCAGGATATTAAATATGACAATAAGAGATGGACCTTGAGAAAAACATTATTAGTTTAATTACGCTTGACAGACATTCTACATTGTTTTAAATAGAAATAGGAATAAGAGGCTTTATTCTTTAACTTTATGGTTTCTTTCGATTCTGTGAATGAGAAAAACAGCTAGGTTTGTTGTTATACGTAGACATTAAAGATCAGATTTTTTTGTTTTCTGTGCTATTGAATATGACTATGGAATTAAATTATCGTCCTTGTAACTTAGCATATTATACAACTTGGTGGTTACCTTCAAAGTCTTCAATTCAAACGGCAGTATTATCAGCTCATAATTCAACTAAATCCGATGATAAGTCTGTTACTATTCAACAGGTAATTATTTATAATAAAAATAATATAGATTTATAAATATTCTATAAAATTCATTGTTCTAGAATATTAATCGAGATGAATCACAATCAAATTGTTGTATTCCAATTAAAAAACGTCGAATAAAACGATAGCTATTTCATATCTGCCATAAAAACTATTATTATCGAATTATTTTAATTAGTTCAGTTTATTGTATTAGAAAATAAAAAAGAATAAATCTGAGAATTAGTTAGTAACATAATTCAATTAGACATTTTAACAATTCAAAAGTAATGATAATCGAATGATGCTATCGAGAAAAAAATTCTATGGAGAATTTAGCATCTTGTAAATCCTCTCGAGAGAGGACATACATCAGTATTCGTAATATTTTCAAAATTTCTAGTAAGGACTTGGATATTTCAAGAAAAAGTTGAATCTTCCTCTATTAATGTCGCTAAAATAATCGATCAGTATTATTGTCTTAGAGAGACGATTCAAATATGACTTTCTCTTATTGACGAAAAATTATATTCCGTTTTTTTGAAGTCGTGATTGAATTCTTTTTTTTATTCTTCATTGATATTGTTTTTTTTTTCTATGTTGATGGAAGTTACCTCTACGTGTTAGATGATCATCCGACTAAAAGAAAACTTTGAATTTTCTATTACTTTTCCTAGGCTACACCTTCACGTTTAATAAGGTGCATTATTAATAAATGTACCGATTGATTATTTGTCTCAATAAACATTTCATCGATTCGTTTGATGCAAGCTGCACTAAATATTTTGAGAAAGAAAAATAATCATATTTTAATATACATTGATTCATTGACTAGAGATTGTTTTTCTATCTGAATGCCATTATGTTTTAATTTGACTTTTTGATTGTAGCTGCAAAGTTGAAAAACGATGACGAGATTTCATAGAACTAGTCTATAATTTTATTGCCGTATCATCAGTATATCCATCCGTTACATCAGCTAAAAGCACTGTAGCAATGAGAAAATGAATTCCTGGAAGACAAGCCTTTATTTACATGACAGATACGTGTATGAATATTACTGGTATATGTATATAGCTATACATAGTAATCAAAAAGAATTGAAAAAATAGATGATCACATTAACCGAAAGATTGAAGAAAAATACCAATATAAATCGAACAAAGAACAAGCATGGACCTCATACAATAACTGTATGAAATAACCATATAATAAGTACATTCATTTATTGTTTTGAATAATCCGACTAAGATCTCCTCATATTTTCTAACAATACAAAGAAGAGATGGGATCGGTTCGATTCGATTCGGTTTAAATTTTGAAAAACGTCAATCAATCCGATCTCTGATATTAAGTTCTTGTATTGCATAATTTTTCGTAAGTTATAAGCTGACAAACATAGTGCTACATGGTCGCTTAGAAAGTGCCTATGATATCAACGAAAGATAATATAAAGTTTATAGAATTAGAACGAAACTTGGACTTGTAAAGATCAATAAACTAAAGCTAAGATTAAAAGATAAAGATTAATTCATAAGAATAAGATAGACTTCAATAGCAAGAGTTTAATTTCTATCTTGATTGAAATAACATTCTTAGATTTTTTCGTTCATGACTTTCAAAATTAATATTCCTTATTTGATGTCAATAAATGCCATCCTTGGGTTTCAAATGATTCTATGGAATTTCGACAATTTATCTAGTTTCTCATCGAATTTTTCAATCTTATTTTTGTCAAAAGCCATGCGAATATTTATAAAATTGTCAAAAATCAAGTGGCGATATTTCGTTTTGCCGTTTCAACTATAAGTGTGCAGCAAATTCAATGAATATTATTACAGAGACTTATTGATAAAAATATTATCGTATAGAACATCTATTCTATTATATCCGCTAACTATTTTAAAACTTTGTAATTCTTCAATAAACTTGGCTTTTTCTCTATTTCAGTTTTTATATAATGATTTGAAAGACGAAAAGAAAAAAATTAATAGATCATGTTTAAATATTTTTTGTAAGATTAATAAAGATGATCTTCGTCAATATTATAGATGGGAAAATGATTTTATTCTATTAGAAAATACTTCGGATTGTTTTCCAAAATTTCTAGTTAAAAAATAGATGAATTTAGTACATCATAAGAGCTTAAATGTTTTTTTTTGAATGATCAACGATTTGAACACCGGTGTATTTTATTGAGAACTAGAATCGGCTGCATTTATAGATCGTTACATTGGTACTATTGATCATGTTCACTACATTTGTTGTATTAACAAAACTTTTTTTCAATCTACAAAGTATTAATATGGCTATCACTATAGGTATAAAATGCATTATTGACACGCCATAAGCAATATGGCTTAATACTATGGATCAGCTGGCGATAGACAAATGTATATCAAATTGATGAAAGTCTCAATCGATCGGAAAAGGCTAGAAAATTATTGCTAGTAGAACTAATTATCATCGTTTTCTCATCTTTGAGAAATATTATCTCACAAGCCTCATTGATATAAAGTGTTACTGAAATATAATTAAGTAGTATTACATTTTCAATATCAGTTACTATTAACCTATCGTTGTTTGTTGCAATATTATGAACATTTTTATAAATAGAAAATGGCGACTGACAGGATAGTATTCTCTAAAAAAATTATGTTTAATTCTTGTGAGATTCGTTGATTGTCAAAGTTTGTAATAACTGTGATTGTATTCTAATATTATTAGTGACAATAGTACAAGATTTTCTTGGATTGACCTCAGTACGAAGTGGTACTTCTCATTATATTTTATGATTATTTTGTCTAACATAAAGTATTGACTAATGTTTAGAATCGCTCTTCTAACATTGAGTCAATCCGATCAGTAGAATGAAAACAAAAAAATTTAGCAAGTGTTAAGGACACATCTACAAAGACAATGTTTGCATGTGATATCAGTAATCATAATATTTTTTAATTTGCATCTTGTTTGAGAATAACATTTATTATAAATGGGATTTTATTATTATTGACAAAAGCAATCAACCAAATGATGTAAATAATGACAATAAATAGAATTATACGCTTCGGAAAAACGTTTTCCATATGTTTACTATTATTATCGTATATATGTCGAAAGAAAGGAAGAAAGAACACTCTTGTCTTTCAGCTACCTTACGGTATGGAATGCTGCCTAACGAGATTTAATAGACTAATATCTTTCCTACAACTATGACTAGTTGTAGCTCTGAACAGAAGGTCGTTCTGATATAGAGTTCTTGTGCTCCATTACTTAAGCTCTCTATACACACTAGCTATCCACATACTGGACACAGGAGCTGGTGCATGTCACAATGTAGGCACTCAGCCATGGTAGCTCATGTGTGAAGATGTTTATCACAGAAAGGAGGTAGACCACCTGTAAGTCGTTGTTTTGAGATCATATTGGATTCACAAGAAAGCCTCAGCAATACTAGAAAAGATCTAACATGGTTCGTCGTCATGAGCCTCTAAAGTCGAGTTATGACCATGTTACTGACTTTTTTACTTGAAATTTTTCTCATCGAGCGTTCTAATGACCCTTGGAATGTTCTGAAAATTTCGGTCGAAAAAGATGATTCTTTGCCCAGACTTTGAATTTCCAAGTAAATTCAATTTTTGTGACATGCCGGTGACAGATGACTTTTTTCGGGGGAAATTCAATATCTCAGCAAAAAAACTTTCTTTTCGACCAAAACTTTCAGGACATTGTAAGGATTACTAGATCTATCGATGAGCACAATTTCAGGTCGAAATCCCATTATTTGATTTTCCACTAAATACTTAAATAAGTTTGTTCTAGTCTTGTCGAGAACTTCCTCTAGACCCAGTATGAACACAAATCGACGGGTTAAAATTGTAGTAATTCTCTCCTTAAGTTATCGTTGAGATTTTTTCACATCCACTCTTTGTCCTTGAAAAAACAACTTAAAGAACACATTAAGTAGGTTACGAATTTTACATCCTTGAAAAAAAGAATACAAAGCATAATGCTTAATGATGCGATAAGAAAAAAAAGAAGATACTAATAAAGAAATTGCCTGTTAAAAATAGAATGTAATCTTATGAAATAAAATAGTTTGTTTGAAATTATTGAAAAGAAAATAGCTGTATAATGGCGAATATTGGATTTGTTCAAGCATAAGCATGAATCGTCTTCATAAAGGACAAAAAATTTCTTAAAATAATGTTTAATTTTTATTTTTTACTCGAATTCAAAAGAAGGATATTGTCTTAAAAATGAATACAAAT